GCGGGGGAGGAGGAACGGTTGCTTTATTAGAACTCACTAGAAGCAAGAGGGGAGGTAGTGTAGGTGGTGGTGGAGGATGAGAAGGGGGACCACTTACTTGTGCACTGCCTTCAGAACCAACAGGTGGTTCAGGAGGTGATAGTGGAGGCACATTACAATTGATAAGAGGCGGTGGAGGAGGAGGAGGAGGAGGAACATTACTAGAGACAACTGGAGGAGTTGAAATTGATGGTGTGTTACTGGAATCATTGAAAGGAGACAAAGAAAGCGCTTCCTCACGGTGCATTAGAGGTGGGTGGAAAGATCTTTCATTAGAAAGCAGAGTAGTTACGGGTGGAACAACAGGTGAAGAGTTGTTTAAATCAGATGTGGGAGGCGGTGATTTTGATTGAGAGGTAGTGGAATCAGAGGGTTGTATTGCTGGCTGCAAGGAGGGCGAAGTATTAGCTGAAATTTTAATTTCTTTCAAAGATTCAGACAAAGCAAGAGAATCCGACTGGGTATCACTATCCATCACGGACTGGTTTGGATCATTCATGGTTGCCGGCATTGGCTTCACCGAGTCCACGGAAGGTCTGAGATCTGAAACTTCCTCTAATGTAGAATCCACTGATGAACGGTCATCCAGCAAAAATTCCGGCACACTAGCCTTCTCCGAGTCCAGAAAATCGAGACTGTCGGCAATGCTAGATGAGTTGTTTTCCTCCTCTGAATCGATAGGCGACCCGTACCCACTCATCCTCCGCAACATTGTCAAGTCTTTTACGTCATTCAAAACCGACAATTGTTTGAGTAGCCATAAAGCAGCATCATCACCAGTATCGATCCAATCCACACCATTAAAAAGTTCCTGCACCCGGGCAAAAGCTTCAATGGGGAGTCCACCTTTCTCCTCGCCGTTTAACATGGATGTATGGTTTTTGGCAGGTGAAGTGCTCTCGACATCCCCAAAGAGCACCTGCAAAATCAAATAATTCATGAAGAAGTTAGACCAATAATAGGTAATTTGCACAACTTTCACCTCTTAACCAATAAAACAATACATATACACAGATAGAGAGAGAGAGAGAGAGAGAGAGACCTCAGCTCGAAAGCCTTTGGGAAACCGAGCCTTCGAGTCCCAAAGGGTATCCAAGTTTTCACAGTTGAGCATTAAAATATTAGACCGGATAAAAGCCGTGTTGAACATTATGCGGAACATCATGACTTCCCTTTCTGGATCCAAGTCCAGATGGACACACTCAAGCACCACATCTCCTTGCACCAAACACTGTATGTCGATCTTTATCACATCACAGTCCTTCTGCATGATAATGTCAAGCATTTCCCATCAATGCTAAAGAAACAAATAAAGTTCTCAAGAAACCAAAAAGAACAAAGATAACAAAAGGTTCTCACTTGGCGATAATGACGGACATGTCTACCCTTCTTATGCATGGAATACAGCATTTGGGTTGACAACCCATCCTTACTGAGGAGATTTCTACCAAAAATGCGTACAAGGGGCCTGCACCCTTTCTGATTATCAAACCTCGGAATTGCGCGGAGAATAAGACAGTCCAATGACAGGGGCCTCTCTGGAGGAGGCCACTCTGGGGATATATTCCTTCGTGATATATACTGCAGATACCGAAGCTGAGATGGAAACGGGTTTAAAGGCGAAAGTAACTGCAGCAAGCCTCTTGGGCCTTCACGGTAGACCATTTCAAGGCACTTTTTCTCGCCACTTTGCAACTTCCTGAACACCAAGAAGCTGGACAATACAAATGCAAGGAGTGGCCAGCCCCCTCTTTCACAATGGAGCAAGACCACATTCTGGCAATTCCCAAGAGAAAGCCAGCTCTCACTAACCCGAAGAAAATGGTGGATTAGAGATAGAGGCAATAGAGGGCATCCCTCATACTGCCTCGGGTAATCCATAACCGTGACATCATATTCGCACAGTACCTCAGCAAACTGGCTCCTTCTCTCACCTTCTCGGAAGTTAAATGCTAGAAACGAGGAATCTGGAAACTCTTCATGCAGCTCGGTGATAATTTCGTGCAAATAAAGCTGGTATATTCCATCAGGGAGCACTTCGGTCGAGAAACAAGAATCAAAAACTGCATCACACAGCAGTTTTTCAGTGAGCAGGCAAAGGCAGAAACGAAAATGCAGACATGTTTTCAACGGGATGATTCAAATGAGGATTACCATAAACCCTATCAGAGAGTTCGAGCAGGCCATCTGGTGGCCTCTTGTAAAAGAATCTACTCAGCAACGACATTCCGTCGATGGAGAATCAAATCATACACCTGCAAAGAGAGGAAACAAAAAATTAATTCCAGTACCCTTATTAGTTGCATCTCAATTTCCCCCAATTTTGCAAAATCATTAGAATCAGGGAAGCCGAAGTGAAATTCATCAATCTGTTCCAAAAATACAAGTTAGACTAATTAGCCATTGAAGACTAAAGATGAATATGGATTCGGGGATTGACGTGAAGCAGCTGAAATCCAAAAATTGATCGAAGTGCAGTTTTTTCAGCACAGTAATTACTTGAAGAAGCACCTAAAGACATGGATACACAGATATACGCTGAAGAAAATAAAATTTGAACTGACCGGATGATAATGCTGCGGCGGAGGTGGCCGCGAAAGCTGAAATCCCGGCGAACGGAGGCGGCGAGCTGCTTCAGAGTCGTCACAGCGGCGTCGTTTCTGTCTCCATTTGCTGATGATTATTTGAAAATTGTCTTTTACTGCAAAAAAACGTATGTTCAAGATTTGAAAAGTGGGCGGCTAATGAGCTGTACCCGACGCTTTGTGTACTTGTACCTGATTTCGAGGTTTTTGAATAGAATAATTTATACTATAATTATATGTTAAATAGTTATGGTTAGATAGGGCCACGGGCCGAACCGACCCGTGGCCCGACCCGCGAACCGGCCCGGAACCGGCCTCCTAAGGGCCGGTTCATTGAACTGTATTAATTGCATTTTAATATCATTCTTTATTATAACTATTGAATTGTATATATATTTTAAAAGTTAATAATTTTTGTATTTTTTATCAGTTTTACATATGTAATATATCAAATTAATCTTCTTTTGATGAGTTTCGATTTAACATCCATATTGTATGTATAAAAAAAATAATTTATATTTATCTTTATAACAATAATAAAATTATTTTAATATTAATTAGAAAAATTAAATTATTTATCAAAATTAATATAATATAACACATTTAAGTCATAAGTAACACATATCATTATAAAATATATAATAATATATTTTTGGTAAAAAAGTGTCAAACGGGGGCAATACGAGTGTGGTCCCACACAGGTTAAGCGCACCATAAGAGGGTTAGCCCAAATGAAGCCCAAGTGATGTTCCATCCCAAAACCAATTAGTGATGGGAGGAGTAGCCCACTAGACTTATAAAGTAGGCTCATTTACCCTATCAAATCAATGTGGGACAACTCACAAGTGATATTCCCAACACGCCCTCTCACTTGTGAGCCCTTCATAGCCCACGCCTCCAACTAGGAGGGGTATAATTTTTTTAGCCCACGCCTACAACCAGGCTGGGTAGTTTATTTTTTTTTAGCAGGTCCCAAATTAGGCCCACTCTGATATCATGTCAAACGGGGGCAATACGAGTGCGGTCCCACACAGGTGAAGCGCACCATAAGAGGGTTAGCCCAAATGAAGCCCAAGTGAGGTTCCATCCCAAAACTAATTGGTGATATGAGGAGTAGCCCACTAGACTTATAAAGTAGGCTCATTTACCCTATCAAATCAACAACTCACAAGTGATATTCCCAACAAAAAGTAAACTAAATTTAATATAGTTTTCTTATTAATTTAAAATTTAAATATAATTTTTTAACAAGCACCCGTGTAATACACGGGTGTTGTACTAGTAGTAATTATTTACATATCTTTATGTCTAAACGGTAGAATATCATATTTGACTAACAAATCTTGTGCAAGCATCACACGTTAAATTAATTCATTAAAGAAATAATGTCATTATAAATAAATTTAAATAAACATTTTATAACTTTTATATGTTATTTTTAATATATATATATATTTAATTTAAAAGTCTTTTATGTTTTGTTAATTGATAATTATATGTGACGATTTGTGGTCAATTTATAGTGCTTCCAAGAAATTTAATTTAAATAGATATAAATGTATATCTATGTCGTTTCGGACTTTTAAAATTATAAATGCTCGAATCATTTAAACTATAATCATTTAAAATTTTTATATATGATACATCACATTAATCATCTATTGGAGGATATGATTTTATATCCATATTGCATAAATAAATAAATTATTAAATTTACTTTTAATAAAATTAATTATCTATCAATTGAAAAATGATAAAACTATTTAACCAATTAAATAAATTTATCTACAAAGTTCGTACATAATACAAGTTAGAATAATTATTACATTATTATCCATGGATGAATCTTACAAGTGACACGTATTATTCTATATATAAACAGTAATATAAATTGTTTAAATTATTTAAACTTAAATAAAATCTTCTCATTTTATATTTTAATAGATTAGGCATAAAAAATTTGATTGGTACATGTTCTTGTATTTTATTAATCTTATATTATTAAAAAAATAAATAAAATTGTTGCAGGCTGCAAGTTTCCTCGCACCACACTCGTTGGATCATACTTGCAACTTTCTTGGAACATAACTCTACCAATTATCATTTAATTTTATAATCAACCTAATAATAAAGTCGGGTCCAACTTGGACACAAATCATATTAAAAATTTTGACTTTTTCAAAATTGAATTCTTTCCCGTTGACCAACTCGAAGACTTTTCAAATGAAAAGGACTTCAAGAACACACATATAAATAGACACCCAAATTCCCCTCTTGGTCACACAACATTTTTCAATCATCCAACCACAAATTTACATCCAATTTCTCTCCCAAAATTAAGAAACCCTTCACTAATTTGAAAAGTTTTGATCTCAAATTTTCAATGAGTCGTCGCGCGGTTATGCAGATGTCGAGGCTGCTCGTCGGTCAGAGTCGACAACAACTATTTTCCACCGCTATCTTCAACACGGCCTCAAATGCTACTACGAATGGCACTTTTCGAAACTCCATTCCCAAGTTCGCTAGCAACGAGTTTCTTGGAGTTAGGTGTTGGAGCTCGACGGGTCCTAAGGTAGCTACCCACGAAGAACTAACCCAAGAACCAAAGGCGAACTCCGGCGAAGAAAACACCGATCGTCAAGGCGGCAGTCGGGCCGTCGTGAGCAGCTATTGGGGGGTGGCGCCGCCCAATATAGCCGGTGAAGATGGCTCTCCGTGGCGGTGGAATTGTTTTCGGGTATGTTATGTTGTTATGTACATAAATTTTGCATGATCACGGATGTTATGCAAATTTTCTATCTTTTTATTTATTTTTTTTAATTTGATCTAAATTGTCACAACTATTTATTTATTTATTTTTATTATGGAAATTATTTAATAGCCATGGGAGACATACAAAGCGGACACCTCAATTGATGTCAAGAAGCACCATGAGGCCAACACAATCATGGACAAGTTTGCCTTTTGGACTGTCCAAACTCTCAAATACCCCACATACTTGTTCTTTCAGGTTCACGATACTTTTGAGACAGCCCGATTTATATAACATTCACGTGTTTTTAAACTATTCGATTTTTTCGTATTTTTATAGAGACGGCACGTGTGCCATGCGATGCTCCTAGAGACTGTGGCCGCCGTGCCCGGGATGGTTGGCGGCATGCTCCTCCACCTGAGGTCCCTCCGGAAATTCGAGCACAGTGGAGGTTGGATCAAAGCCCTACTTGAGGAGGCCGAAAACGAGCGAATGCACCTCATGACCTTCTTGGAGGTCTCCCAGCCCAAGTGGTACGAACGGGCCCTCGTCTTTGCTGTGCAGGGTGTGTTTTTCAACGCATATTTCTTGGCCTATTTAGCGTCTCCCAAGCTGGCCCACCGGATAGTGGGCTACCTTGAGGAAGAGGCGGTCAACTCGTACACCGAGTTTTTGGTTGACTTGGAAAAGGGACTCGTCGAGAATGGGCCGGCGCCAGCTATTGCGATCGACTACTGGCGGCTGGCGCCGAATGCGACGTTGAAGG